AACTAAAACACCATGTTACTGGCACAAAAATAGACATATAGACCAGTGAAACAGAATAGGTGACACAATGACAAATTCAAACACCTACAGTCACCTGCATGCTGACAAAAAGCCTAAGAATATGTGTTGGAGAAAACACAGCCTCTTTAAAAAACAGTGCCATGAAAAGTGGATATTCATGTGTAGAAGATCGAAACTAGATCTCTATTGCTCATCTTGTGCAAAAAAATATTCAAGACATTTCATGTTTTGGATGCTATTGTGAAAAGACTGGTTTCCCCAATTTCTCTCTTATGTGTCTGTTATTCATGTACAAGAAGCCTATTGATTTCTGAGTGATGGCCTTGTATCCAGCTATGGAATTTGGTTATTAAGTCTAGAAATGTTTTGGTAGGGTGTCTGGGGTCTTCTATGTAGAGTATCATGTCATTTGTGAATAATGACAGTTTAACTTCTACCTTTCCTAAGTTTATTCCTTTTACTTCTTTCTCTTGTCTATTTCTGTGACTAATATTTCCAGAACTATATTGAAAAGAAGTAGTGATAGTGGACATCCTTTTCTTGTTCAAGATTTTAGCATGAAAGATTTTATTTTTTGACCATTCAGTATGATGTTGGCTGTGGTTTTTCATATATGGCTTTTATCAGGTTGAGATGAAGACCATCTATTCCAATTTTCTGTAGGGTTTTAACATGAATAGGTGTTGGCTTTTATCAAATGCTTTTTCTACATCAATTGAGATGATCATATGGTTTTTGTCCTTGACTCTGTTAATATAGAGTGTTACATTTATTGATTTACATATTTCGGACCATCCTTGCATTCCTGGGATAAATCCCACTTGGTCAGGAAGTACAATCTTCTTGATGATCTTCTGTATTCTATTTGCTTGTATCTTATTGAGGATTTTTACATCATGTTCAGTCTAACAAAGGGAGTAAAGATATCCACTTTGAAAACTATAACTCTGAAAAAGGAGATCAAAGAGGATACCAAAATGGAAAGACATCCTTCTTCTTGAGTAGGAAGAACCAATATAGTGAAAAAGGTCATGCTTCCAAAACTGCTATTCAGTGCAATCCTGATTGAAAGTCCAACAGCATATTTCACAGAACTATAGAAAACAATCCAAAATTCATTTGGAACCAGAAGAGACCTAGAATAGCAAAAGCAATTCTAGGCAACAGAGACAAGGCAGGGGATTTCACAATCCCCAATTTGAAACTACACTGCCAAGCTACTGTGATAAAGACAGCATGGTACTGTCAAAGAAACAGAATTGAGGATTAGTGGAATAGATTAGAAGATGCAGAAACAACTCCAGCCACCTAATCTTTGACAAAAGAGCCAAATATCCTCTTCAATAGGAGGAAAGGTAACCTCTTCAATAAATGGTGCTGTACAAACTGGGTTTCAACTTGCCAAAGATTAAAACTAGAGCTGGGAATTTAGCTCAGTCATGCCACATCTTCCTGGCAAGCTCAAGGTCCTGAGTTCCATTCCTGGTACCTCCCCAAAAGCAAAAAAAATAGACCCATAGCTATCATCATGCACTAAACTAAGATAAAAATGGATCAAAGCTCTAAACTTTGAAATAGGTTGGATGTCCGTTGGCTACACAGACAGAAACCATGGGCTGACTCAGAATCCAGGACCAAAAGTGGAAGAAGCCTGGAAGGTTAGGAACTGAACCCTCTGACCTGGAGTGCAGGCTCTGACCTCAGCGTGGTGGCAAGAAGGCGTCCCTGGCCTGGAGCAGAAGATCGGAACCTTCTTCCTTTCCTGTGAGGCAGGACAGAGCAGTGACGCGGGGGCACCTGCTCTCTCAGCCACCAGGTCTGCAGTGACCTCAACTCACAGGGGCAGAAGGGCCGGGGAACCCTGAAGCTGGATTAAGGCAAACACAGAACTCAGAAAGAAAAACCCAGAAGGAAAAAAAAATCCTCTCATTCAAGATGGCAGAATAAACTAAAATCCCAAACCACAGAGAGAAGTTAAATGTTAAGTAAACAAATGAACTCAGTAAGAGAACAATTCACACTTGTTAAAAGATAAATCTGAAAGTGACTTATGAAACATATTTAAAATCAAAGAGAAACAGAATAGAATTACATTCACAAAGATAAAATAGCCACATGTAACTAGCCAGGTACAAATACCAGACATTTCAGCTATGCATAAAGCAATAATTAAAAAGTGAGATCATGAAAAATTCTAGAAATAAAAAATAGACATACTGTTAGAGACATCATAGAAAACTTCACAGGTAGCATAACTTCTCTACTAGGTGCAGTTCTAATGATTAGTGAACTGCAAAACAGTTTCCAGTAACTCATGCAGAATGTGGCAAAGCTGAAAGAGGAATTACAAGGCATGCAAGCTAACTTATGGACTTTTAACCGTCATCTCTCAAGAGTCAAAAGTAAAAATGAGAGGGGATCGTATTTAACAGAATAGTGACTGAAGTTTCTCCATGACTGAGCAAGGCATGAAAGCTCATACTGAAAGCATACTCCATATTCCGAAGAGAATAAAGAGTATACCTTTTGATTCGGTGTCAGAAGCACGGAGCCTGATGCACTATTCTACCACACAGTTGTTTTCAATCATTTGTAAAAACTTTTACTCACCAGAACGTAGAAAATCCAGCTTGGAATGCAAACACTGTGTAGCTCAGCCACTCTTTTGATACTTGGATCTCGGGAGATGATTCTCCCATGGTTCCTCATGGTTATTTATGTATTGTGTGTGATTCTGTTCCAGAGTCAATTTTCAATGATGTTTGAATAGCAAATAATCTTAAAAGCTGTTATCATTTGGATCTAAAATGTCCCCCAAATTCTCATGTTTAGGGGCGGGGCCTGGCGGGAAAAGGCAGGTCACTAGGCTAGTGGCCTGGACAGGCAGGCGTCCACAGCCCCAGCTCCCCACTCCACTCTCTGCTTTTGGCCACTAGGACAGGAGCCAGCTTTCCCCTGCCAGGCTCCCTGCCAAGCTGTTTCTGCCCTGGAGCTGTTTCTGCCAACCACACCAGGACCAAGCACCTCTGAGACTGTGAACCATAATGATCTCTCCTCCTTTTCTGGTGCTGAAGCCCAGCCATGAGAGGAAAGTGACTGACAGAGCTTAAAAATGGTCCATTCTCTCCAGGAGATGCTGCCTCCATTTGCTTTCCAGGATGATGAAGATAATGTTGCTTCCAGGGCAAGATCAAGGCAGAATGCTCACAACTGACAAAACTGAAGAAGAACCCCAGGGTTCTCCAGCTGCGAGGCCAAGCTCACTGGGTCCACAGCATTCCCGTGGACAGGTCCTCACCACTCCTGGGACTGAGGGCACTGCCACCCAGTGTGGACATGAAACTTACACTTCCGGCTCAGCCATGAATGATCAGGCTGTCTGTTTCTGATCCGGGAGTCTCGAATCTTCTGTTAGCGTCCAGACAGTCTTATAGGAGGCCTGTTTGTTAGCAGGCAAGTAGATGCTTCTTAGTTCTGGACACTGGATGTCCCACTCCAGTGGCTGTGTTTGTTGCTGTTTATTTTGTGTGTTTTGGGAAGGGTGGCTCCAGGAAGCGTATGGGACTGCATTCACACGAAGACACAAAGACAGCCCGTATGATTTGAGTCACCTTGGCGCTGTAACTGTGGGCCTCCCTCCTTTTATCCGTAGTTTAATTCCACCCACAGCCCTAAGTTTTCCTCGCTAAAAGTAGAGAGAACTCTGTCTCAGCCTCAAGACTATAAATCCACACAGGCAAGGTTTATCACTAAAGATCCTCCGTAATTGTTAGGCAATGTATTCTGGATAAGGCCTGGGCTTTGGAACCAAGATTCGAGTTCCTGTGAAGTCATTCATTACCCTCACAGCCTCATGCAGGTTAACTCATCTGTACAAGATGCAGTTCTTCTCAACCGTGAAAATGGGGAGCCATAAAGTATTTTCCTCAGAACTGTTTTAAAATCACATGAGGTAATAACAAAGCAGTTCTACCACAGCATCTGGTAACTAGATGGCATGAAGCAATAGGAGATAACCATGATAGCCACGGAAACTCACAGCGGGAGGTCACATAAGTCATGCTCCACTTTCTAGTCACTCCCTTCAACTCCCAAAAGTACTGATAAAGTGAAGCTAATAGGATTCTCAGGAATAAATTTAAATTATGGATCACTACTTTTTGACTTAGCTATACCTGCACTAGGAAATTATCTTGAGGAAACAGTAAGAGATTCCTGAAACACTCTTTGCAGTATTACTTGCTAAGGCCAAAGCAATTAGTAATGACTTAAATATCTACCAACAGAGAAAATCTTAAATCAATTATCGAATAGTCAAGGGAGTGCTGTGCAGCCATAAAAATTTTCTGTGGTAGAAAAATAATCAATAATATGAATATTCACTATTCAAAGAACGATCACAGGCTGTAGAACTCATAGAAATATTATTCCAGTTTTGCTTTAAAAGGTATACTCACCTAGAAGAGATGCTAAAAGTTTATAAATTAAAATATTCTACTTGATTAATATCTGTGTTGTGTACCTTTGTTCTAAAATCCTAAAATAAATGTACTATTAAAAATCCAAATAGAAACTGTGAAGACATTTAAATGCTTTGAAATTACAATGTAACCAGAGAAAATAATACCAGTAAATAATACTGTCAAAAATTCTTTCAAGATTGATGTTTCTTTTGAAAAATCTCAAGCTTAAGACATCTTAATTTATTGACCAAAAGAGAAAATACATGCCAATACCGATCATCCAATAAAGTTTACCTATTTAAAGTTTACCTTTTTGTTCTGATTCAGTCATTTCAAAAAATGCTGCCAGTCATCGTTCCAGAACCAGGATACAACTCAACACGTAAAATTCACTTTCCATGCAAACAGTCCTCAACCAAAGAATTCAAATGAGTTATTTTTTTCATCCTAGCAACTATTGCATTGTCAAAGTGTTCAGTCTTTAGATTTTTGGGACTCGGGATATTGTTTGTTTACCTGGCCTTCTCCGCACCTCCTGCACAGCGGTGGATATCAATGAATTCCATTAGCTGTTTTTGTAACATTACTTCTTTGCCATCAATTTGAGTAATAAATTTATGCTGTAAAAGATCCGACACTGTTGGACGCTTTTCATAATCTTTTGTTAAACATCTGCACTGGCGAGAAAGAAAATGTGATTATTAGATAAGTTAGAGTTTTGCCTTAGCTACTTTTCTCATTGCTGAGGCAAAATTCCTGACACCCAAAGTTAAAGGAGGACAAGTTTACTTGGCGCACAGTTCGTAGAGGTTTCAGTCCATAATCGGCCAGCTCTAAGGCAGGGTGGTGTGGGAGAGGGGCATCACAGAGGAGAAACAGTTCATGGCAGGCAGAAGACAGCAAAGGTAAGCAAGGGAGGACCACAGCTCTTTCTGTTCCTTACATCTTATCCAGGCTACTCACACAGGCAGCGCTCACACCCTTAACCCTAGTGCCCTTGAGCCTAGCACTGCACCGTGAGTCAGTCCCAGCATCACACACTCTAGATCCAGCCTCCTCTGAAACAGCCCCACCTATGACCACAGGAAGCTTTGGGGGGACGTCTAGACACAGCCATGACAAGTACTGAAGCTGTCACACATATTCCTAAGAAAGCTCCTTTACTCTAGGTGAGTGACACTTCTCATAAATGCTCAACACGAGCACACTGCAACCAAATAGCAAACTGCAAGATGAAGGGGGAATACTCCCTCGGGCCCTAGCAAGCATCCTGCATGGCGATGAGACTGTCTGCACTGCGAAGTCCCAGACAAGTCAGAACCAGACAGCACAGTGAGGCCACACAGCCCAAGGGTGTTGATGTTCTGGCTCAGCAGTGTTTCTAAGGCCACACGGTCCATGGAGTGATGAAATCGAACCTGTTGAGGGGTTCAGCAGAGCCCACTCATGCGAAAGGGTGGGGCTGTGAGAGCAACTGGGAAGACAACGCAGGAGGAGCATCTGAAATTTAATCAGCTGTGACAGCTGTCTTCAAATATTTTGGGAGAGGAGTTTGACTAGTTCTCAGTGATCACAAGTGGCAAAAAAAAAAAAGTAGCACTGATTGGAAGACTTAAGAGAGCAACAGATTTCGGGTTAGTATCAAGAAGAATCAAGGTGGGATGGGCTGCCTCGGGAAGCATGGCACTCTTCACTAGAGATATTCAAATACTGGCTGAATGGTCACTCAGTGACTACATTCCAGAAGCATTTAAACTGCACTTGGAGATTCAAGCTCTACAACTTTCCAAGACTCTTCTGACTGATATGCAGAGGCTTTACAAGGATGGAAAAGTGGACTGTCATCTGAGGGCATTAAAAAAGAGAAAAATAGGATAGGAAGGAGAAAGAGGAGGAGGAAGAGGAGAGGAGGAGGAAGGAGAGAAAGGAGAAGCAGGAGGAAGAGGAGGAAGAGGAGGAGGAACAGAAAAAAGAAAGTAGGAAGGAGGAGAAAGGTGGAATGGAGGAGGAAGGAAAAGAAGGAAAAGGAAGAAGACAACAGGAGGAGGAGGATGAGGAGGAAAAGGGGCAGGAGAAAAGAGGAAAAAAGTAAAGGAGGGAGAGCAGAAGGAGGAAGAGGAGGAGAAGAACAGGGAGGAAGGAGAAAGAGGGAGGAAGAGAAGGAAGGAGGAAGAGGAGAGGAGGAGGAGGACGAGGATCAGGAACCACTGCTGCCCAGGCCTTGCCTTGAACAGTACCATTAAAATCAGCACTGCCGAGACTTCTGGTATGATAATTTGTCAATTTATTTCACTGGGCTTGACAAGAAAGATATTTTCTAAGGTTGCTAAAACATGCTAACAAATAAAGGTGATGATATCTGTGAATAAGATCAAATGCTCACAGTTTCCGTTTAGTGTAACACAAATCAGTGATTTCTGACACCAGTAGCACTCACATCTATGTAGTCTGAAGAGTTCCACGTGAAAGTATTTTTTTCAAGTAAAACTTTGCCCAAACAGCCAGTGTGTACCAGGCACGTGGCTTGACAGGGAAATGACAGCAGCAGAGAGGGCACAGTTAGGGCTCTCAGCACCAACTTGCTTGCTATCAGTTGGAAAGAAAGACATCAGAACAGGTAAGTTCAATCGGAGCCACGACATTAGCAGTGGAAAAAGAACAAAGTGCAACAGTAGCTGGGCCAGACTGTGAACTAACTGCCTGGAGGAAACTAGGAACTGTTTCTCCCTGGGGACTGTGAGGAATACGGGAAAGAAACCAAGTTCGCTGAGAATCTGCAGGGAAGGGTCCTGCCGACAGGAGGTAGACACTGGGAATCATGGGGATCCCTTAAACGCTACCAGTGATTCCCCTAAGAGACGAGAAATGTTACTGCCATGTATGTAGTGCGCAGCCCTCAATAGGAATATCTGGTCAGTGAAGAAAAAAGAGATCACCAACCCATCTGTGTTCTTACAAACGATTAAGTCTAAGTCTCTCGCCTTTACCAGAATGTGCAGATGGATATTTGAGGATCAGATTAATGTCTGGCTGAGTCAGGAGTGCTGCACCCATCTCTCCTGAGAAAGCTCCGAGGCCTATTAGGGCTGCAAAAATCCGCCCCCTCGGGTGTGTAGAGGTCTGACCTTAGACAGATAAACTGTTCCTCTCCAAACCTCCTAAGCCCTGACTCCATTGCCTCAGCCCCTAAAGCACACAATCCCAAAACTAACATGTGGCCAATAACGATGTGCCAAATATCCCGACTCCACCCTGGCTCCACCCCCGCCTGACCCTATATAAGTCTGTGCATTTGCTGAATAAAGTGAAAGCTTCCAGAAACCTCCCGGAGTCTGCATGGTGATTCCGCACCTTGCCCTCCCAGTCCGGGCCCCTGAACCTTGTTCCGCAAGTGGGCTCGCAGACGACAACAACAGATATTCTTCTAGGAAAACCAACGTATGGCTGGGTTCTCTGCTTTCTTTGCCCTTCCTCCACTTTCTGAACAGTCTGGCACCCAGAATCTCAGTGACCTCCTGTTTATACCCCGAGGTTCTGCCTGGTCTGTACATTTAAGGTGAGGACATGAGGACATTGTGAGAAAGGTTCACGGGACAGAGCTTTACCAACACTGACTCCTACTTTCCAGTCCAGCACGGAGGCACTGCAGTTGTGCTAAATATTTGCTAAATCGACTGCATTCCCTGAATTTCAAATGCACACGCTTTTCATAAACACGATTTTCTGATTCACTGACTGCAGGGAGAATTCTCTGACTGATGAGAATTAGTGACAGATAAATGAAGGGCTGCAGAGCCGACACTGGGTGAGCAGGTGGAGATGCCGAGTGTGTCCTGCAACAGGCAGGTGAACAGAACACCCCCGCGGACTGCACAGGGGCCGGCTACTGGTCCGCACGCGGGGCCCTCGGGCCATTATTACCCAGGATGAACACACTGAACAGTTAGACAACGCCCCGGAAAACGGGAAACCGCTGGGGCTATTTAAGGAGGAGAAACAGGACTAGAGTTAGACGCCCAGAGGCCCGACTGAAAAAGGCACCGAGGAAAGTGAGGGCAGGATGATATCAACTTGGTTTTTTTCTTCAGATTCTGTTGTTACTCACTTGCTAATGAAGTCACTGAATTCTGCGGACCACAGTTCGGGCTGCCTTAGCTGAGGGGGTGGGTTCCTGGAAAAATAAGAATCAAGGCTGGATGGTGTCCCCTGCTCAGATGGAACAATCTAGGAAGTGCAGGCAGACTAACAAGTGCCCCCACTGGCGCTGCCATTGGCTTCAAATGGTGCCATGAATTTAATCATGCTTTACATAAAACGACAGGTTTCTCGTTTTTCTGAAAGCATTTAATATAGGACCCAGTTTTTTTCCAAGAGTTCATTTTCTTTCTTTCTTTCTTTCTTTCTTTCTTTCTTTCTTTCTTTCTTTCTTTCTTTCTTTCTTTCTTTCTTTCTTTCTTTCTTTCTTTCTTTCTTTCTTTCTTTCTTTCTTTCTTTCTTTCTTTCTTTTCTTTTCTT